ATATATATATATTAAAAAAATAAAACAGAAACAAATTAAATGAATATAAAATAGGTAACCTTTCTCTCTCCTGCTGTTCTCTACGTTCTTGCTCTTCCTTCTCTCTCTGCTCACGGGCCTGTCGTCTTTTTTCTGCCAGGATGCGGGTGGCTTCCTCTGGGTTATTGGTGCCAGCCATGGGTTTGCCTGGAGAAGGAGCTGGAGAAGCCACATGTGGGAGAGCAGGGACAACAGAGGACTCCTCGGGGACAGAGGGCACAGAAACTGTCATGAATGGTGCACTTGCAACAGGGGATGTGTCCAGAACAGATGACAGGACAATGGAGGGGACGGGAGACGAGGCTGGAGAAAACACAGAGAAACGAAGCGGAGAAAAAATGAGGACTGGAGGGAGGGGGAAAAAAAGTGTAAAATGACAAACTTGCATGTTTTAATGGAAAAACTCCTGTTAAAAGAGAATCATGTGGCAACACCACAATTATCATCACCACACTCACTCTTTGGTTCTTCAGGCGTTGCAGGCCTGTGGGTCTCTTTGACCCTCTCTATGGTGACAGGCGAGGCAGTGCGGGTCTCCACGCAGGCAGGGGTCCTGGCCCTCTTGGGTCTGGCTTTAGGAGTGCTTGGACTCACTCGAGCTGAGGGAGGTTTGGGAGATACTGCAGGACTGGGGGAGGATGCACGGCCTTTAGGCGTCACAGGAGACGCAGTTCTCAATTTGGACACTGGACTCGGACTATAAACATGAAGAGAAACTAAATTTAATGGCTAAGCTGGAAAAATGTATTATACAACATGTTTTTGTTTGTTTTCTTCTTAACGCCATTCCAGCATCTATGGCTATATTCATGGCGAGAACCAGTTAATCCATACACAAGACTATCTTATACACAAGTCTGTCTTACACACAAGTTGGGGGAGGGACTAATACAACATGTTCACAGCAGGGGCAAGAACATGACCTAAAATGCAGCCTGATTTTTCATAACGTCCAAGAAATAGATAAATGACGATTAAACAAATTAAACACATAAAAGCACCTTTAAAACTAAAGCTAAACTATATATCTATGTAGCATAACTTGAAACTAAATTATGACTTCTGACTACTACAAAAAGGTGAAATGTTTAGTCAGAGACAGCATTACATAACACAGCTTTGGTTTAACAGAATTAGAAAATGCTCAGGGCAAAAAGATCCATTAAAAAGCTTCTATTGTATCTTCCTTTTGAATGTGAAAGGCAGTGCTTCCAGAATATCTAAAACTGTTTAGATGTTTCTAAGACTGTTTCACTCTGATCAGATGATCTATGATCTATCTATCTATCTGTCTGTCTGTCTGTCTATCCCATTGTGTTTAACAGTTCGTAAGACTAAAACTACTCCAATTTGATACTTAAAATTCAATTTAGGTTACAGATTTAGATGTTATATTGCTAGATGACAGTCATCTTACCTGGACTCTATCCTGGTTTTCATTGAAGGCATGGACTGTCTCTTCTTCAGCACCTTCTCTTTGGTGATAGTACTCTTCTCCTTTTCATTTTCTCTCTCCTTTTCTTTCTTATCCTTCCTCATCTTGAAAAAAGATGGGACAAAAAATAAAGACAGTGGCTCAACAGCAGGAGTAAGCCTTTGTTAACTAAATTTTAATTTCTCATTAAAATGTCTATTTGATCAGATGATATTTCACTCGCAGTATCTGCTGTTTTTTTTTCAGTTCAAAAGTGAATTATTGCAATAATGGCAACTTTAATAATATTAATGATTACATTAACAAGGCCACATTAACATGTTTCATAATGAAGATTAGTGCTTTACGGGTACATGAGACAAAACAGGTTGGAAATCAAGACTTGGCTATATGGATTCATGGACGTGTGGATGAATGATGAATTTCACACCTCCTCTTATATCACAGCAAAATATGATATAACAGGCAGGATGGATGTATGAGGAGTATGAGAAAGATGTAGAGTGAAAGGGAGTCTTAAATGACTCACAGGAGTGGAGTCTCGTCTCCGCTGGGCGATATCGGGCGTGCTGGTGGTGACCCTCCAGCGCTCAGAGCAGCGATGATGTGGCCGATGAGCACACGCTGAAAAAGGGCTGGCAGATGCTGAGCGCGGACACAACAGAGACTCTGCATGAAAGAAAACACATTTAAATCCCAATTTGCAGCATGTAGAACAGAAAAAGGTCATGCTGTTTTTTTTCTGACTTGCACAGGCCCTTGCTAAAACACTGAGGCTAATCACAAATATAAAGGGTACTATGATTGTATCCTGTCACTCACGGGCATCTCTGGAGTTGTTCAGCACACTGGCAGCACTGCGACTACGAGCCAAGAAGGAGAGAGTGGGCGTCATCAGCCTGTCCACGATGCTGCTCTCCCAGGGACTCAGCTGCATGCTACGAGCTGCAAGAAAAGATTCAAAATGAGTTCCTATTAAAATATACGCGCAACAACCCCTTTCCCTATATATTCCCTATAATAACAGTTGCGATATTATTCATTTTTATAATTGTACAACTGTTCAGTTTTACAATTGCTCGTCTCCCTTGCTCTCAACGGGGATGGATGATCCTGAGGATGAGGATTTCATAACACTGCCACATGCTAGAAAAGCCAGTAAAGGTAATCAGTAAACAAGTCCAAAAAAATAACTTTTGTGAAAATTAACTCAAGTTTGAAACGTATTGAAAGAAGAATTCATCCAAAAATAAGAATTCTGCAATTTATTCACCCTAACGTTGCTACAAATCAGTGTCATATGGACTTTATTTATGGTGGTTTTTCCACTATGAACTGTGTGAAGATTCATCAAAATATCAGATTTTGTGTTTCACTGAAGAAAGAACGTCACACACGTTTGCAACAAGTAAATGATGATATAATTTTTCATTTTTTGGGTGAATTATTAACACAAAAAGGACAAAGAAACGAATGAAACATGTTTATGTATGTTAAAAAAAACAACAGTGATAAAACACTACAATAAAACTTTACACTTACCAAAAATAAACATCATTGCTAATTCTGAGAAACAGTTACATCACATTCTCAACAGTGTTATTTTAAGTAATATTTTGATTTTATTTTAAAATGTTCGGTTTAATTTAAGATTTTTGGTATATTTTTATCAAACGTTTTTCTCATTTTTATTAGTTTTTTTTTCTCTCTCTATATTTTTTTATAAAATTTTCATCTATTACATTTATTTTAGTTTTAGCTGTTTTAGTATTACAAATTAAACTACAAAAAAATGAGAAAGAACCCTACAATAACCCTAATTCTAAACTTATGTGATTTTCAAGAGAAAAGAAAAGGGGAAACAAGAAAGAGCCGCAGGTAAATGCATGGTAAGATGCGAAAAGCAAGAGCACAAGAACAATTAGGTGGTAGAGAGGCATTTTAGAAAGAGAGAGATCGAGAGAGATATTGCCCATAGCTGAACATTCATCAGCACTCTGCAGTAAAGTCTCTGCTCATGGAAAACTTCCCAGACTCGATTAGCTGTCTCAGCACTAAGCATGAACTCTACTTTCTGCTCTACTCCATCTATTGTTTTAGGGTGCACTCACAAAGCCCTACTTACGTTTTCATGACCTCAATACATGCAATAAAAGAAGCACCGGCCATTTTTGGGAAAGAAATAATAAACTAGAGTACTAGACCTCAAATCACTGAAAAATTGCCCTTCTGTGTGGAATGTAAAACCATCAACACATTTCTCTTTTTGAATAATGTTCAGACACTTATGTCAACAAAACATCAAAACAATGGACACTGATTTCAAAGAAATATAGCACAAGCACACTTTAAACATTTCACAGAAAGATGTTTGTTAGGTTTTAAAAGTTAAAATGGTAACAATTTACAATAAGCTTAAATTCTTTAACATTAGTTAATGCATTAGAGAAAACTAACTAAGAAACATTTGTACTATATTTATGTATTTTAATATTAATTTTGCACACAGTTTGAATGCAATTAAAAAAATCTAAAATTAAATAAAAATTAAATTAAATCAAATGCAAGTCAAATCAAACCTAGATTAATAAAAGACTGTAAAACTTTTATAAAAATGTATGATATCTAATGCTTTAACAAACATCATTAACCAACCATATTGTAAAGTGTTACCAAAAAACAATACATAATATTGCTCAAACAGACAAGCATTTGGACACTTAGAAAATAATAGTTTGTTCTAAAAAAAAAAAAAAAAAAAAGTATTAGCATACATTTTTTTATTCTGTAAAATTCATACATTTTAAGCGTGGTGTAAGTGTCCAAATACTTTCTGGGACCACAGTATCATCATGCATCATATGCAGGTGAAGGTATGGAGAAGTATGCAAGTATTCACCTTCAAAGAAGTTACATCAAGAAAAAGGAAAAAGGAACAGAGAAAACCAACACCAAAAATAACAAAACAAAAACAGAACACCACTGACGACGGTTGACGGTGAAAGACGATGAAGATTTAAAAATTCAAATTCGGTCGAACTAAAGACATTGACGAGGAGACAGTTTGGAAGGAGGGAATGATTGAATGATCACGGAGGACGAGCAGGTGATTGGTCTCAAGGGAGAAATCAAAGATGGTGGGAGAAAATGGAAACTCATAATTATGCGAAGGGAGGAGCCTGTGAAGGTGTGAGGGAGGGACTAGATCCGGAGGCGTGTCCTTACTTCTGCTAGGGGACATCCAGAGAGTGGCAGAAGATTTGGAGAGCCGCTTGTTTATGACTGAATCCACATGTTTGGGCAGGTTGACCGCTGATATTGAGCATCTGCCTGTAAAATCCAGACAACACCGCATACACAATGCTGAGGGGACCAAGGCGGAATGATGGGGGGCAGTCAAAAAATTTACCACTAATCCCTTAAACAAACAAAACAGCCAGATATATAGGACAAGTAAATATATATGTCAAAATATACCTTAAAACTACTTCTTGAGCAGCCAAAGATGGTTATCTGTATCCTGGATAATAGGGTTGGGTACCTAAACCAGGTATCAATATGACACTGGTACCCATGTAACCGGTATGTATTAGAACCGAATCAGAACGCAGATTTCTGTGCATCATTTCGGTGCCATGCCTGAGTGATCAATTGAAATATTTGGCATCTGGTTCTCCGAAACGGACGTAAGAAGCATCGTCACCGGCACTGCACGTGAAAAATAATTTCCCGACTAAGAAAATTCATGTGAACTCAAGTCGGAAAGCTCTAATAATACAAATCCAACACATCTTTGTAGTAACGAGAGTGTCCATGTTGTTTTCACATTCCGACTTAAAAGCACAACTCGGGAAATGAGAGCATCCGAGGAGCGCGTGAATGCAGTAATTACACTTGCTCTGACGGCAGCAGGTAGCCTTCCATTATCTAAGCTAAACATGCTTAAATTAAAATGCCTAAAGCTAAACTTCCCTTGTATTCACATTTCTAAAGATGTTGTCCAACAAAAGAGAACATTATAACCTTTTTACTCCACAACACCAGTCAAATGCTTCCTTTTGTGATCTGATGTGGCTTCTTGTCACAGAATGAGGCAGAAAATATGTTCCATAGGCTATTTTAAAAAGAATACGTCGATTAGCAATGGATTATAAATGTACTTAATTATTAAGAAAATACCAGAGATGGCTTGAATAACACAGATAAACTATATTGTCGCAGTTGAGTGTTTATTGTCTTTGTTTTATCATTCAAAATGTTTATATGTTCTGTTTACTCTAGTTCTAGTTACAGCTATAATAGGGATGCCTTTGTCCATATAAGGGATTTCCTGGAGGGTCATGTGTTCCACTACTGGATACTGGATTGCCTGGATATGTGGATTTTCTGGGTGAGGGCGCCCTCTGGTGTCCAGTATGAATAAAACAGACATCATATGTTTACAGTGCTAATGGCCCATCCATAATTTTTTGGGGAATTTTTATTTATTTATTTTTTAATAAGCATCAACTCAGGCACCGTTTAGGCACCGGAACGTTTTAAAAGTATCGATTTGGCACCGGTATCGAAAAAAAAAAAAAACGATACCCAACCCTATGGATAACCACTGTTATGTTTGCAGTGTCTGGATGTTAACTCAAATGCTATTTTTTATTGAGTTCGGCTGCTCAAAGTTCATTATTACAGAGTCTACAGACTTTATAATGGGTCACCGCCTCCTCTTTACCTCTTAAGGCACCATCAGAGACTGCAATGACTGTGCACAACTTTTGGGAGGGGAAAAACTAAAGTAAGTCAGAAAATAAGATCCTTGGAGAAACAGCATTGGTTAGCCTATAAATTGAGGTCTTGAGTCCTGGGGGAAGTGGTAGAAAGCTCCACTGAAGTTCATTACCCTATTTCCAAGCATTCTCAGTAAGTCACTCACCTTCTGTTATATACGGACCCATAAAATACACAAAGGCGCGTATCTGAAGATTATGAAGATGTTTCTCTTCATCTTTTGAGCTTTTGTACATTTTCAACATTTAAGGAAAAACAGGCCTAATTTTTTAACAAAAAATCTAAACAAAGGACATGTGCACCTTCCGAGAGACTCTTGTGGGGCACAAAACTCACTGAAACTAATGCTACAGAAGGATACTGTGGTAAAAATGGAAAAGCATTTGCAGATCTCAGTTAGTATTTGCATTTGCCTAGGCGTACATTAAAGTCCCCATGATCCCCAGAAGCAAAGCAACTGATCTCTTGATTATTATCATATTAGTAAAGAGTGTTTAGTCAGGCTTGAGCAAAAGGACTTGAGTGAGGATTTTTTTGCAACATAAGAAACCATCTAATGTGAAAAGTCTGAAAATCTAGAGAACCTGATACCTTTCCTTTATATGGAAATGGAAAACAGACATTTATTCTCTTTTTATTGTCTATTCTTAAGTATTTTACAGGGGAAAATGTGCAAAAACGACAAAAAGAGAGACAGAATTATTTTATATGCATCAGTCTCAGTAAACTCCATCACAATCACCTCCAAAGACAATCCAGCTTATTCTTTTCTTAACATGGATCCAGTTAATACGAAAAGGAACCAGAAGCAATACCTACAGGTAAGGCTGGGCGATTTAGCCAAAAATTTTAATCTCGATTTTTCCAGAATGTGTGACCGATTCTCGATTTTTTAAAGATTTTTAACTAGTCAACTTGAAAATGTAACTACAACATGATTCAAGTTACTTTTTCTTTATTAACCCTCTAGTTAAAGAATATTCTATTCCAGGTGCAGCACACATGAAGTTATCAACATGATGTAAGCGTTAAACAAATCATTTGTTAAATATCTTTGCAGAAAAGATGCAAAAACTACAACTACATATTGTACAAGCTTGTCTTATACATATTCTGTGTTCAGAAATAATAAGAGGAAAATTCTTTTAGAAAATCTCAAAAGTCAAGGAGCTGCTGAAACAGTTCTACTGCCGTCATTGAGTCTGTCCTGTGCACTTCAATAACTGTCTGGTTTGGTTCAGCTACAAAATCAGACATCAGAAGACTACAGAGAATGGTTCGGACTGCTGAAAGGATTATTGGTGCTCCCCTGCACACCCTTCAAGAACTGTATACATCCAGAGTGAGGAAAAGGGCACAGAAAATCACTCTGGATCCCTCACATCCAAGTTATCCCCTTTTTGAACTTTTGCCATCTGGCCGGCACTACAGAGCCGCAAATACCAGGACAGCCAGGCACAAGAACGGTTTCTTCCCCCAGGCAATCTACCTCATGAACAGTTAAATGTTCCCCACATTATGCAATAAAAATGTGCAATAACCTTATATTTATTTGTTACCACCTCCATCCTAGTACATCCCTGCATCTCATTCTATTCCATTCCATTCTATCATCTATAGCACAACTGTACATACTAAATTTTTTTTTCAATAGTTGTCAATTTATATTTACATGCGTTTTTTTTATTTATTTTTTATTATTCTCATCTTATTTTTTATTATCTGTGTTGTTGTTGCTGTCTCTGTGTACTGGAAGCTTATGTCACTAAAACAAATTCCTTGTATGCGCAAGCATGCTTTGCAATAAAAGCTCTTTCTGATTCTTCTGATTCTGACATTGTAGGAATAATCTGAAATCAGAGGTGCCCATATCTTTTTACTATGAAGGTCCAAAAATAAAACTAGATTTTTGATTAAAATGATTAAATGATTAAAAACTTGGGATGTCTCTGTGTACTGGAAGCTTATGTCACTAAAACAAATTCCTTGCATGTAAATTCCTTGCATACTTGGCATTGGCAATAAAGCTCTTTCTGATTCTGATTCTGAAAATGACTGAAGGTATAACACCAGTAGACTTTTATTAACTATAGAGGTTCTTTAAAAACAACAGCAGCTTTCAGCCTGTCGCCATGATGCAAACATGAAATATCAGACATACAGTAGTAGTTCTTTACAGGTTTTTTATTAGATTACGCTGCTTTTCCATAGTTTTTTCACATCTTTGTCAACACAAAAGCGCATTCTGTGTGAATGGCGCTTAGCCTATATTTATGGTCCTTCACAGAGCGCGTCACGCGTGAGCGGTTAATCACCTGCACCGACATGCGGTTGAATCGTTCTTTTCTATATACTGTTATCACCGGCATATTGTCAAAGTGTCTAACTCTAATATTTGGTAATACTTCTATTGAAAATCGCAATTCCTCGATTTCTAAAAAATAAAAATCGTGGCAAAACAACAAATTTAAATTAATCGATAAAATCAGGAAAATCGCCCAGCCCTACCTACAGGTACCGTTTTTGTGTTTATGTAAGTGCATTTTAAGGAACTCACTCTGGCTTTGGCTGGAGTTGCCACTCAAGCCTCCGGCCCAGGACCATCTCTGCTGCCGAATCTCTGCCCATGTCTTCTTACCAGACCTCTGGATGGCCGCCTCATACCGCTCCTGAACAATAAATAAATAAAGTGTAGCAAACACTTTATATTGCACATTTAGATATAATGGGCACTAGGAGCAAAGGAGATGGTATTGATCTTTCAAAGGGGAAAACTCAGAGCCCAATTTGCTCCACTTTCACTGATAAACAACTCATCTAGCATTACTCGGAGAGCTGAAAGGGAAAACAATGCCTGGCACGTTGGCAAAAACCTCACAGACTCAGAACCTCAAAGTGTGTAAATTAGAAGAACAGGTTGTGTCATGTGGGTTTGCACTGAACACCACTACTCTCTCACCTTGTTCTTCTCAAGTTTCTGTTTCTGTCTCTCCTCCAGCTCTGTGCGGCGCCTCTCTGCTTTCAGCCGCTGCTCCTCCAGCTTCCTCCTCCGCTCCTCCAGCTGCTGTTCCCGCACCTGCCGTGCCCGTTCCTCCTTCTCCAGCCACTGAGACTTTTTAGCAGCTACATGATAGAGAGGAAGAGCCTGTTAGCTACCAAAACCAGGCCAGCATGTTGACCTTCAGTTATCAGTGTTTGAACAGAATTCAGACACCCATCATTCAATACATTCCCAATTCCTAATGCATGTTCAATTATTAGATATTTGATCACACATATTTGGCACCCAATAAGAGTGAAGCCCTCTCAGGTCCATTTTACCATATTAAATTGAACTGATTTTCTGGGTTCGGAATGACACAAGGGTGAGAAAATTAAATAATTTTTATTTTTGGGTGAACTATCATTTTAACATAGACTACCACTTCAAACGTTTCGGGACGGTAAGATTTTTTTATGGTTCTGAAAGAAGTCTCTTCTGATCACCAAGGTTGCATTTATTTGATCAAAAATACAGTAAAAAAATAGTACTACTCAAAATATGTTTTCTATTTTAATATATTTAAAAGAGGAATGTATTCCTGTAATGACAAATCATTGTAATATGCTGGTTTCTTCAAAAAACATTTCTTAATATTATCAATGTTGAAAACAGAAAAAGTAATGCTTAATATTTTGTAATAAACTGTAATACATTTCTTTTCAGGATTCTTTGCTGAATAGAAAGTTCAAAAGAACAGCACTTAATTGAAATATACTGTATATATTTATAACAATGTACAAGTCTTTACTGTCACTTACGATCAATGTAATGGTTCCTTGCTCAATACAAGTATTAATTTAATTACTTACTGACCCCAAACCTTTGAATGGTAATGTATGATTAAATATCTTACAAGCTGTCAAATTTTGTATTCCCATCGATCTGGTTTAAATCTCTCAAGACGCTACAGTATAAGGGTTTATATAATCAATACTAACTAGTAAATCTTTACAATATCAGCAATTACATAACCCCTATTTAAGCACAAGGTGAACATTATTCATTTACAAAAAGCTGTCAGAGCATGTTTATTTAACTTTGAGCTTTTTGTATCAATAAACAGCATATTTCATATCCTAGTCACGTACTACTTAATAAAAAAAACTAAAAAAAAATATTAGTTTCACATTTGTTCTGTGTCTTAAGTATATAAGAATCCTTTTGGGATAAGTGGGTTTAAAACATTTTTCATTCATGAAATGCAACATCTTTTTAATTATGGTATATGACTTCATAAAATGACAATGGCACAACTTCAAACAAACACAAATGCAACAATGACAGGGACACTAATATGTTACTAGCTCCACTCTACACTATATAGAAGCTGTCTAGAAAGAAAAGAAAAACAACTTTGACATTAAAGCTAGCAAAAGCTAGCTGTACATTAACTGTTGGGCCTATATATGTCGATTCAGAATAAATACTACCTGCTTTTAGAGTATAAAAAGTGCTGAACATATCATTAATGTGCAATATCTACTGTCACTGCAATAAAGAGTGAAAGCAAGGCTTGACATGAGAAGACACTCCGCTGGGAGCCTTCATCTCTTCTGAAGCTGGAGGTTTTGAGTCTTTTTCCCTGAGCTCCACAGTTATAAAATAGTGATGGCCTGAGAGTGCCCGGGTGACGCTCTTCATCAAACTTTCATAACCCTGCTGGCAGATAGATGAGCTGGAAGACGATCCACAGTCTGAGAGACTACACTACTTGTCCTACTATGAACATTTGACTCACTTGCTGCAGCCCACACAAATATTAAACATTAATGTGGAGGTCCATGGTGATGGTAGAAGAGATGGATTGATGAGTTCGATTGACTATGGCCTGAACTGTTAGGTCTCAATGACACACTTCACCCTTGTGTGACTGGAATGTAGCAGGATGTGTTTATCATGATTATATTCACATCAATCATGATTTATTCACAGTTCAGTCACTTCAAGACAGCAGCAGTTGTTATTTCTGGGTCTAAACGGATCCTGCAGTTTGTAATTATGGGAAACTTGTAAAACCCTGCTATGAAAACAAGCTTTCTAAAAAACACACGTGAAGGGAGGTTTAGCGGTCAAAAGTTTAAAAAATTTGGTGGACCTATGACCTATAACTGACCCCAATGCTAAACAACATGAATGCAGTGTATCATGTTATTGTCATATATAAACCTACATGACGTTTTGACATATTCACTGAAAAACAAATGTGTAAAAGAGAATCCCAAATAAAAAAAATTCTTAATTATTTTTGAGATAATAACCTAAAAATTAAAGTGTAAATTGGTTGATTTTCACATTTCCATCCTTTTATTAAGATACTGACAAGCCCCATCATGTTTGTTGTATGAAATTCAGTGAGTCAATTGTGAAAGCGAAGCATTAGGGTAAAATCAGGAGGACAGCTGACCCTGCTGGAAAAAACAGGCCATACTTCAAATCAAACACATGGTGTGGCCAATATGAGCCAAGTCACAGAGCAATGAATGACCCCAATGAGCTGTTTTTTTTAATGAATCAATGTTTGAATCAGTCTTATGACTGAATGAACTCCCTGAATTAATCTGAGCAGTTGCTGAGTCAGCTCACTTTCTGAACCGTTCGTCATTACTTGTACGTCATTACTAATAAACACTTGATTAAATTCCACAATATTCTAAAATAAATCATTAAAATGTGTTACCATACATAATCATTGTATAGAAAACACAGACATATTTAACCAACTCAACCAGGTCCTAATCAGCTTAGTCGAGGTGATCTTTAGTAAACCATCTTATCAACCGCCTAAACCAGCTAATGACCATAAATTGCCAGCTTTGCCCAGTTATGTTGAAATGGTATAACAATTTTCCAGCAAGGGAGTATGACAACAGTGGCAGCTTTCCACTCAAAATTAAGACACACAACAATCTGTCACTAATTATGATTATGAGACACAATGGAAATGGAAAGCAGCTCTACAAGAGAATGAGCATTTGATAGAGAAAGGGATGACGCGCATCAGTCACCAACACCACCAGAGACGGAGGAGTGGCTTACCTTGAGTCTGGCTACGCTGTTCTGGGGAGGGAAGGTGAGAAAGAAGACAAAAACATTGTGTCAATCATGCAAAGCAGAGCAGCACAGCGCAGCAATCTCAGCAGCCATAACAAGCACAGTGATATGACAAACAAAACATGGAGCATGTGAGATATTTAGAATTCTCTGAAGAGGAGAAAATCTCTAAGTGCTGGTTTAGTAAAGTCACAAAAGCAGTAAAACATTTAGAAGTTATTTCATAGTCATAATTGTTATAACTAGGGGAAAGGTTTCAGGGCTGTCCAAACTCAGTCCTGGAGGGCCGGTGTCCTACAGAGTTTAGCTCCAACCCTAATTAAACACACCTGAACCAGCTAATCAAGCTCTTACTAGGCATAGAAACTCCCAGTCAGGTGTGTTGAGGCAAGTTGGAGCTAAACTCTGCAGGACAACGGCCCTCCAGGACCGAGTTTGGACAGCCCTGGTTTATATTATTACTAATTAGGAGCCTAGAAAACAGTAAAAAGAGCTTGTATGCAACCAAGCGAGAGGGGACTTTAACAGTGTTTCCTGACATGTATTTGTCATACAATATTAATATATAAATATTAAAAGCAAGCATAATATACTGTAAATACAAGTCAATATATAATCATTAATATTTAAATATTATTATATAAATATCCATCCATCCATTTTCGAAACTGCTTTACTTGAAACTGCTTGTAGTGTCATCATATTATATCTTTTTAAATCATTATTAAAAAATAAATATGAATGTTTAAATGTTAAAAATATAAAAATATTAATGCCTATTAGTATAACAGAAAAACAGAGATGTATAAAATATAAACTAAAAAATGTGTGTGTGTGGGGGGGGGGGGGGGGGTTTAAAAAAAGAGCAAATGATGCGGTGGGCTTGGGGGCTGTGGAGGGAGGGCGGGATTGGTTTAAATTTAAAAAAAAAAAAAAAAAAAAGGGGTGGGGGGGGGGGGGGGGGGGGGGGATTAAATAAATAGCAAAAATGTAAACCGCATGCATATGCTTGTTGTTAGTCTGAAAAACATGTGACAAATTTCACACCTCTAACCAATTAAAATCTATAAAAGCCATAGAATTTCTGCAGGTATTTCTTTCCAGCCTTCCTGCGCTTTAGCACAAGCCTCAGGAGTTTGACGCATGAATGACATGAAGTATTTTTTTGTCCAAACATATCTAGACCCCAGACAGCAGGGGGTACTGTCTCACTGTATTCCTTGTGTTGTCTTACCGAGATATTTTGTCCTCTCCTCCCGCCTCTCCTTCGCCTGTTTCTGTCGCTCATCCAACTTCAATCCATCTGAGAAAAGAGGCAGAATGAAATGTTTAGTTTTGGTGAAACATTCCGAAATTGCTTCCTAAGTATGTCTTTCTACCCACTAAAGCTCTCCTGGACAGCGATAAAGAGAGATAGAGACAGTCAGACAGCAGGGTGCCGGGAATGAGAGAGGTTATTGTGTGGTAAAGTCTGCGCTCACATCTGCAGCAGTACAAAGCACTGGAAGCTGGCAGCAGCAGAGACTGGCGACATTCACACGCTCCGACTGACAGCAGAAAGCCCTGAGGACTCACAGTACAGATACAATCAACTCAGCACCACACTATTAACATTCATTCAGTGAACCTTTACCTGCACTGAAAGACAGTTAATTCTTTTTATTGTATTAATACTATTGGAACTTGCTCAAATGCTTCAACAACCTAGAAACCACAAATAACTAGAGCTATATTTTAATTAACACTGTCATCACTAATACGCCACAACATAAATTATTAAGCAGCATCACCCAAGCATCACGCTTCATTGTCTGTACATGTTCTGATCCCTGTGCATTTGATTCATTATACAACACATTAAGATGACTACACAGTCTTAGTTTCCTATTGTTATGCCTCTCACAGCACGTGCAGTGCAGGGCTGTGCAGTACACAGCAAAGAAACATGCTTTATTTTAATTACACATTCAAACCATTTCACTCAGAGTTCAACACTTTAAACTGCACCCCATTGAATTGGCCCCATGAAGTCTTTGAGTTGGCATCTCATGACCCACAAAGTCTAGTACAACTTTTATCTGATGACTCAAACTCATTAATAATGATCATAAGACTCCAGCAGTGTTCCTATCCATGACCTGTGCTCCACTTTGATTCGGTATTTATAGAGCACAGGAAGCTGAAGCGCCGAGTCTTATGGGTCCTGACGAGCGGCCCATGTTGTCATTGATGAGTCACTGGGCACAGACAGAAAAAGTAGCAGACTGACCCAGAAAGGGTTTCCAGAGGGTCTGAGGCAGCAGAGAGATGCATAATCACTGACCTTACCATCTCCTGAAGCGCTAAAACACATAATCTGCATGAACAGAAAGGACTGATTGATATTGACCAACCAGCATTCAAGACCAGAGCTATCAATTTTAAATGACATAAAATCTATCAAAATCAAAGTACAAACAACAATTACAAGTAAATTAAAACCGTAATTAATAATAACAACAATAATACTTTACAAATGTATAAGCAGGAAGCAAGAGAAAAATGACTTATGTACTGATTCATCACCTTAATTACTTAATAATATTGAACATTATGATCTCAAGGTGCAGTCATGACTCTAATTTACTAAATACAAGGGGTGTGAGAAGGATTTGTAAGCTTTCAAAACTATAAATTTAAAACTAATCATAAATGGGAGGGTGGTACAAGTCAATTGTAATTGTGCATTTACTTTAGAATCTTTACCGAACTTTTACTATGTGAATTTAAGATGGATTTTCCAGACAACCAGAATACAGGTGAATTGCAAGAGCTAGGTGAGAGAGAAAAAAGACCTGATTCAGCTTTGAAACAGCAAGTCAATGAGTCAATGTCTGAACTTCAGTTCTTCCCTTCCTTCAGGTCTCCTTATGTTCTTTCTCATAACTAATATATGAGTGAGGCAGCAGCGGTCCAGAATCAATGGAGGACAATATTCTGTGGAACACAGTGTTCAGTTTTACAAGATGTTCAGCTGCTTGACAGCAGTAATATACTTTATTATGAGATGAGCTGAACTGTGCACCACCAGTAGTACAAAGCCTTTTAATAACATAAAACCATCTGAGGTTGAATGATGACATACAGCAGAACTAAAGATAACCAAAAATATACATTGTCAATTAAAGGTAAAATCAGAAAACTAAAATTAACTATTAATTGAATAATACTGGTAATACTACAAAACACTACTATTATTAATGTCACCTGTAATAAATGAAGAAATTTTGGAATAATTAAGTTGAAATAAGAAATGCAACATTTTTCTTTTTAATAGTTAACTGTATTTTAATGCATTTAGATTAGTATTGATTTAATTTAAAATGCATTCATGTTTACAGAACTAAAAAAAACATTCATTTTAATTTTGTTTGAGACAAAACTGTTCCCAGAAGTCCCGGCAAGTAGTGCGTTCGCTTTTGCATTAAAGTCATTAATTTATGGTTAATATAGGTTACTTTATGGTTAAGTGATTCCTGCATGTCAACTCATCAAACATCATTTATCCTCCTAAACTCTGCCTTTACAGTTGAGTGATTCACAAATGCTGTACAAATCAGTAGGAATGGATCATTAAAAGGAACCAGATCAAAACAACATACACTAAATTACAACTGCATACACAGTATCAAGCATAGTAACAAAGTATAAATAGCTAGTCAAACACAGCTGTACCAGCTTTTCCCACAAAATTAACAACTACCAAATGCTCTACAACCACAACCTCATTTGTATAGAGACAACAATGAAGTAGGCAAAGAAAAGCCACTTCCTTTCTCAAACCCAAACAACTCTCCCATTAACATGTATCTACGTGTACTCGTACAAGTGAAGGCTTTATACTATGAACGTGACAGAACCAAGGAGGAGGGTTAAATCCCTCCAATTGGCACAGAACTGTAAAATGTGATGCCCAGTCAGGTTTCATTGCTTAACCTCAGCTGATGACCAGAGGCGATTAGGAACTGCCTGTCGCCAGCCTCCACAAATCAGCATTAGCACCAACCTTTTCCTCACTGAACGGATCCGTTTCTACATTAATCTAATACAGCCGAAATAACTTAATTCTGGGAGCATTTATAGAAGAATGACCGTGGAAATTTTTTGTGGGTCAACTAACAAATGCCTCTGTTAGCTTTCAAGACTTTGGTCAGGGGTAAATCCTCAATGACTGGCTCCTTTCTCAAGAGTAGGGATGAGCCGATCCGATATTCAAATCGGGTATCGCCTCCGATAGTGCCATTTTTCTCGGATCGGGTATCGGTCAGAGAGGGCCGATCCAAATACGAGATTTTTATTTTTTTTTCTCGATTGTACGAATTATTCTGTGTTACTTCTGAAGCCCAACCCTCTACATTGCGAGTAAATCACTCGCATATGCGACTAAATCTTACTCTGGGCGACTAAATAATGTCTAACATTTGCCATTGGCAAATAAATTCTTAGATTTTACACACCAGTATGTGTGTGAGAGGTGTTCAACTCAGATTTTCACTTGATAAACACGCTGACTGAGCGCTTGAGAGTTTCGCTATCCGTCAAGCGATCTGTACTATTTGGATGCGCTCAATGGATCATGTCATGAACTCAATGGATGCGCAGTATGTAGCACGCAGTGCACCTGTATTTGACGAACCGTAAACTAGTGTGAAGGTGCACGACTCGCCGTCGCTTTACTGATAGCGCTGTTTCTCACACATGCAAAGAGAGAGAGCGAGAGTCTTGCATACCACGCTGAATCGACGCGCTACATGTAAACCATATTCTTTGTTGTATTTTCCTGTCAAAATAACAG